AGCCTCTAAACCTCAGTTTATTTACTCTGTACCACTATAGTGACCAGTGAGACACAGACAGAATGCATCAGTAAACCCATCCAAGGGGTCTAATTATTACCATTGGGAACTGGGCCAGTTTAACCAGTTTAATTTCATATAAGCTGTCCTACAATCATTAGATGGTAAGTACTTTCAGGAACTAACCACTTGGGCTGGAGTCAAACTGGTGAGCTGGAGGTGAAAAGCTCCATGTTCTATTACTAATCCCCTGAGCTATAGAGTCCCCAGCTGGTAGTTCTACGAAGGTTCACACAGCTTTTTTTTGAAAGGCAGCAAAAGTAGTTACAAGGTTTTTTAAAAAAATAAAACAAAACAAAAAAACCCCACACTTGCAAGAACAACTATCTTTTTCTTAAAATAATCTCTCTGAAAGTACCAGACTGTACACATTTTACAAGAATAAACAAACTTCTGTAATATTTATCCACAAACTGGGAGTCAGAGATCATTAGTGCAAATTTCTGCTGACCGGCAGCATTTGTTCTATAAACTTTGGGTATCCTAAGTGGTCCATTAGAGAACAACAGATATCTTCAATCCGTCTAATCTCTTCATTGGGCATGTTTTGTTTCCAGGCATGAATGCTACTTGGTGAAATTTCCCCTTCATAAGGAAGATAGAAAAGACTGGTGGAGGTGGCAAATAATATTTGGTTTAAACTAGCAGGAGGAAGAGGAATACCAAGAAAGGCAAAAATTCTTTCAGCTGTCTTCTGAGGAAAGCTCACAATATCTTCAAACTTGACCAGCTGATAATTTGTTGGCTGCAAGTCCTCATTTATTCTCAGTGCTGCTGCTGTGTTTGCTAGCCATAAATAGGACAAGACAGAAACAGCATTTGAATTAGAATTTGAAAGTTCTTTTCTTAATGATTCATATTCAAAGGCATAGCCTTCATTTACACTACATTTTCCTTTACCATTTTCCCCTTTAAATATTGCAGCCAAGCGTTGTGGAACATTTTTCAAGGAGTAAAGGCTTGGCTTATTTTTGTACAACATCGAATAGATCCACGCCCGTGGGTCCCTTACTATGTATAATGCTCTCATTGATGGTCCTAGGATTTCCTGAAAGAAGGGAAGCTTTAACGTCCAGCTCCCACTGCTTAAACTAAGCACAGGTCGTGCATTAGGATAATAGACGAGGTGCCTTCTCAGTTCCCTAATATATTCAGCATCTTTATCTGGACTCCCTCTTGCCCTGCTTCTTTGCTCTGACAGAGATTCTCTCTTTTTGAATCTTTTCCTTTTGTCCTTGCTTATGGCAGAATGCTGAGCAACTTTACTTCTGCTGGCTTCATACAAATGAATGTTTTGTAAATGTAATTTTGTGCCTCGAACTAGAGACTGGAGCCACCCTTGGATAAGACGAAAATGACCGTTCTGGACATCAGAAACCTTCCATTCACATGGATCTACAAAGGAATCAATTTCAAATTCAGTCTGAGGAATTTCGAGATAGGGTGTAGGTATTCTGATGTATAAGAAGTCACTGCTGTTGAAAAACAGCTGTTTTAAAATTTCTGCTCCAGAGGCGGGAAGTGCAGTAATGATCACATCTGGCAAAACAACATGGTTTCCTTCTAATTGTTTGGCTTTATTGCCTTTATCATGTTGTAGCCTTGTCATGTCACTGCTCCATTTTGCACAGATGGGCTGAGTACACATGCTCCACACATCCACCAATTCAATAAGCCACAGTGTGACAACCAGTATCAGGATCCAACGCAACATTTTACTGAAGGATATGTAAAACCGCCACTGAAAAGCCAGTATGACCAAACTAACACCCAAAATTAACCCTGCAATTATGCTCACTTTGAATCCAAATGGGAAAACCACCCTATTATTTTTTATCTGTTTTTCAACAGATGCAGTACCTAGACCAAACTTGGTCACTTTGTTTTCATGAACTACTTTGGCAAAGCCACCAAATCCCAAGTAATCGAACCTTGTCTTTAAATTCTGATATTCAGTCACAACAGAGATGGTGTTTTCAGTGTTGTTGACACTGAGCAAAATCTGAAATCCAGATTTTGCATTATCTATGAGTCTGCAGTTAGAAACATTGACATATGGGCCATAGAAAAGGTAAACAATCCTTGTAAGTGTGTTTTTCATTGGAAAGGTAACATTTACAAACTGAGTCCATCGCTTTTTGAATTCAGCAGCTTGTTCTGCCTCCTGTATCCTAGCAACAGGACTACTCCCATGATGATCAAACCAAAACATCTTGTAGTGGGCGTCCCACACATCCATCATAGCTCCATTGTATTTGTTCTTAAATTTATAGGGTATGTATTTAAAATCAATGTCAAGATTATGAAAAAAGGCACTGACAGAATTAACAGGAGAGTCTTCCTCCTTCTCGATATGGTCTACTACTAACAAGGTCTGAGAATTTAAGAGCAGCAAAACGCGATACACGCTTTTCAATTTCATTGCTGATGTGTAAGCAGATACTGCCTCACCACTCACAAACATCATGTCTCCAGCCTGGGAGGCTGTTATGATTTCTCCAGTTGAGTCTCCAACCTCATCACCAATCCACTTCAGCCACTGGGCACACTCGCCAAGCTGTCCCTCCCAAGGCTGGTTGCACTGGCTCGTAGGTGATGGAGCAAAGACCAAGACATTGTTCAGGTGGCTGAGTTTAGGTCCATAAAGAGCCTCAGATACAAACACCTGTCCATTGGGAGCAAAAGTGAAAGAGTTCTGATCAGGATGTTCATGTCCCGGATTGAAACTTCTCCACCCGTCAATCCAGGCATACGGTTGAAAGTGAACAATATCGTAGACAGCACGTCCACCAAGTTTTCCAGACTTAAAGGACACAAAGGTGTTGGTCTGACTGTTTGGCAATCCAGCCCCATAAGTAACAACTCCCCAGTTAGGAAACACATGCATTTTAGCAGTACCGTAATCAGGAGGCGGCTGAGGAGTGATTTCGGCAGCGTACCAAATAAATTCAGTGTGTAGTGTACTCCACCTCTGCGCAGTGGATGGCACCATTGGCCCGTCCTTGGGTCTGTGTTTCCTAATCTGCTGTGCCAGCCAGTTGCCAGCTCCATTCTTCATGACAAACTTATCCAAGAACACCAGCTGGCTCTCAGGACCATAAAACCAGTTGTAATTAGAATCTGCTACACCCACAGTCCTCTGAAAGCCTGGTAACAGTGTGGCATAGTAAAACCAAAAGTGCGCTTTGAGCCAGTTATTCTCCAAGTTGTTAATACCAAAGTGGCGCTGAGCCAGGAAAACATACTGGGTTACTGACTTGGCTGTGTAACTCCCATAAGCTACTCCCTCATCCAGAGACCCGTCTACAATATGATTGAGCAGAAACATCGTTTTCTCCATTACATCAACAACAGTGTGTTTCCAAATATTTGCCTGAGATCCTTTGTCCACCCCTGCAACTAAAGCCCCAATAAGCAAAGCAAGCATGTTGGTTGCTTGATGATTATGGAGAAGCTGCTTTCCCCAGGAACGAACCTTTGAGTACTCATACATTTCCTCACTTACAGACCATATCTTCTCCAGGTATTTTTGCCTTCTCTCATTTCCCAGTGAGTTATACAAGAAGTCAAAAGCAGTGGCAAATCCTGTTAGGGAGTGACCGAGTGGCACTTCATCTCCCGGTGCATTCTCAACCAACCAGTTTTTGTAGCCAGCCATTCTATCCATATATTCCAGGGCAAAGTCAAACGCAGCTTTATCTTCAGGGCACAGCAAACAATAAAATGCTAGAGGAGGCAGATTGTTACCGTAAATCTCATTCCACTTTGCAGCAAAATCAGCGTGCTTGGGTGGAGGTAGGTAGTATGATGGGTTGGACAGCATAACCATCACTGCACTTCTGATGGCTCTGAACAGATGCGAATGGCTTGTATGAGCCTTCTGCCTCAGTGCCTGCACATCTTCGGCGTCGAAATACAAGCTTGGATGCAGAACCGTTTTTTTCAGCTTCTGCTCAGCGCTAAGACCTTCAAGTTGCTGTTTTTCATATCGATCTACGTTTTCTGTGAAAGTCACCCAATCAGAGTAATTGCTTACAGATTCTTCAAAAGTGAAGACAGCAAACATCATTAATGCTAGAAATAAAGTATGCCCCATGAACATCAGAGCCATGATCCATTAGGCAGCTCCTCTTCCCCAGGCATGCATTTCCTAACAAAACACAACGTTCAGATATCAAACTTTGACACAGTTAGTACAAAAATGAACATATTAAGGCATATTTTTAGGAGAAAAGACTTAGTGTGTACTGCGCATTCTAACAGATTACTTGTGATCTGAGCTACAATATTGAAGCAACAAGGCTGTCAAAAACTTAAATCTCAGGTGTCTTGTCTGTTCACACTTTTCTCAAACACAACACTACAGCATAAATACCAAAATAAAGGAAAAAGTACAATCTTCAAGATATGAATATAAAACACAGGCTGACAATGCACAGTAAGAGACTGAAACACTATCTCTTGATAACTTGAAAAACATGACCTGAAAAAAGGAATCGGAGTGATGCATTTACTTTTTAAAAAAGCTTTCAATCAGGTCAAATTCCACTTCTAGAGCTGACAAAAAATCCACTGATCACAAAATGATATCATTTATTCAAAACAATACGTTGTATTTCATGAAACAGGGAATTTACAGCACTTGGAAAACAGACTTCAAAACTGAAGTTATTGTCTTCAGCCTTCCCCTTATCTCAATTTCGATACACTCTCTTTCCATCTTTCTCTTTTGGGACTCATGGGAGAGTGGGAAGGGAAAATAATTAATAAAAAAGAAAAAATCAACACAGGTCCTCCATTAGCTCCTTTTGATGAAACTGCAGTGCTTTTAACCACTATTTCCCTCTGTTTTGAAAGGTACGTCTGAACTAATAGTCATAGAGTATCGATATATTTTCAAGTCTTCTTTCATCTTATCTTCAGCCAATGATGCTCAAATTTTGTCTCAGTGATTCAGATAATCCTGCTCCTTCCATTATAAAGCAAAAGGAAAACATGTGAAAGAGGCAGAAAGCCAATACTTTTTTTGTAGAAAGAGCAGTTTTGGATTTCCTTCCACTCTGCATGTTGGTTCTTTCTGTGGAAACAGAAACAAAAGTTCTCTGAAGCTGTACAGGTGTCAGAAAATATTTAAAATACATAAGATTAACAAAGTATTGCTAACTTCCTAGGGAAGAGGAGTTAGCACACCTTTTCTTTTGCAGAAATTAAATAAAAAGAAGAATTTTCAGAGTTCCACAAAATTTATCTCTGGCAAAACAGAAACTCGGATTGGCTACTTGAGCTCGCTTTATTTCACCTTCTCCTGCGCGACTGCGAGGTCTCAGGGCGCACTTTTCCCACCACGCTCTCAGGCGCTACGCTCACAAAACAAATCTGAAACGCCCCACCAAAATTAAACGGAGCCCAAACCACTAAATAAATACAATAAAACTTTAGGTACGCCTCTACAAACCGCACGCTGAGGCTCTGCCGGCAACGTGAAGGCGTGAAGAGGGGGAGCAGACGGACCGACCCGCGGTGGCCCCGCCGGCCCCGGGACGAAGCCGGGACA